TAGTTAGTTAGTGAGTGAGTTTATTTTTACACCGCCTTTAGCAATATCCCAGCAATATCGCTGCGGGGGACACCCGAAGTTGACTTCACGACAACTCATTGTGGATCACTGGATCATATGATCATTATGAAGATGAATAGCTGCCATGTTTGCTTTCAGTACAAAAATCCATCTGTAAATCCAATTTACATGAGCGTATCCAAATATTTACCAGTTTTTCAATGGTGTATTCATTTTGCCCTTCGAGATCTGAGTAGGGAAGGCAGCCGTGTGTGATGACTTCATAGATGAGATGTCCAACCATCCAGTAATCAGACCGCATAGAGAAGTGATGTCGCTTGAGAGACTCTGGGGCAGACCATCTCATGGGAATGGACAAACATTCTCTGTCTAACAGGAAAGTCAGTCATCACATGGGACATCACATTTTAGATGAGTTTAACAAATAATGAAATGCCTAAAAATTACATCGTCATATGATATGACAATTTAAAATTTAATTGAGCATGCTTCATAATGAAATGTCACAAGCAAAATTAGTTAATAGACATACCGACAACAGTTTCTTCTCGTCCACATTTTCGCGCCAACATGAAGCGGCATAGCTTGATTGACTTGCTTTGTTTGTCGTATGCAAAACTGGCAGCTGTAAGATCTCTTTGTATAACGCCATGTTCATGAAGGGCGATAACTGCTTCCAGAGCTTGTATAAGAAACTGCATGAGCTCAAGAGGTTGAAACCATGCCTCGTCCTTGGCACTATAATAAAGCACCTCCTGGAAGTTGTGTTGACTGTAATCATCAGTGATGTAGAACACAGGGAACTGGTCGATTCTGTATGCCCACATAGACAGGATATGCGGGTGTGTTGACAGAGCTCTCAGAATCTCGACTGTTGTGAGATGACCACATTCCGACAGACTATTCTTGCTTCGTTTCTCTAGAAAATTGAAAACTATTTTATCCACTGTTTATGTAACTAAACCATAAAAGTGTCCGATCACATAAACTGAAATGTAGATAAAGGCTGTCCCAATAAGGTACAGTTAAAGTTTGGCTGAGCCCAAACTAGCTCCAAGTTTTCTATCTGTCTTACAACATAGCAAGATAGTCTAAAATTCACGAAGAGAACACACATTGTGTGCGAATTATTTTGATCATTCGTGAAACCAACTTTCTCTCATTTTAATCCAAAGCACAGTTAGCTGTGCCCCAACTAAAATTGGCATCGCCTAGTTACATACCTGATGGTAAATTGACGTGAATCATGATTTTGTCTGTACCAATTCGAGTAGAAGCTAATTTCCACTTGGTACTGCTGGTGGAATGGTCCGTTGTTTGTTTGTGCCGGAGGTTGATGCTGATTGGCTGTAGGTGTTTCAGAACTTCTGACACCATTAAACTTTCAGTTGTTTCATCATTGGCATCTTTCCACAGGGTCATGGCACCTTGTCTGATTACTGGACTTTGTGAAAACAGCAAACATCTCGCCATACCGAACATACTTCTGTCCAAGTACTTTAGTGACAATCCAAGAGCTGTGAAAGCAGATTTGGCACGATCTTCTATGTCCTCGCCTACTGTATCTCCTGTAAATGAGACCCGTGAAGATACGGGTTAGAATTTGACTCCAGCAAAGCTTGTCGCAAGAGGCGACTAACGGGATCGGGTGGTCAGGCTTGCTGACTTGGTTGACACATGTAAATCGTATCCCAACTGCGTAGATCTATGCCCATGCCGTTGATCACTGGATTGTCTGGTCAAGACTCGATTATTTACAGACTGCCGCCATATAGTTGGAATATTGCTGTGAGCGGCGTTAAACACCAACCCACCACTCCTGTCAACGGTGTTACAATAATTCAACTGAAATGCGCCATTTATAATGTGCAAATTCCCGCAGTGTTTGGTTGCAATGAACTATTGAAATCAAACCGAATTTAAACCTTTTTGACTACTGACTTGTAATTAAAAATCTAAACAAAACAATATTAAATCATATCCATACATAACATCATTTGTATCATAACCATACTTTACATCATTTGTCAGATTTTACCCAAGGCAGTCAGGTATGCAACCATTCCAGTTGAGACCATCTGTATGACTCTCTCGTGCGGTTTGGTTTTTTGCAACACGTTCTTTACACTGGATTTTCCTGGCTTAAGCAGCAGTGGAAGAGTGTCCAAGGCCGCAATGGCCGTCTGGGGGTCGCCGTGAAACACCTGTTGCAAGAAGCAATGTTTTAACGATATATTTTGCACCGAATCGTGTGGAACAATTATTCAAGCAACAAAAGTGGAATAGTACAAAGTGGGAAAGCAAATTAGTAGACTTCAAAGCATGTCAGTGTGACTTTACTTCACTGTTTAAATGTGACGTGATAATGGGTTGGCGTTTCGTCATTTAAGGGATTAGATGTTTAGTTTCAACGCCAGACAAATCTACAGAAACTATTCAACTGTGAGTAAAAGGCAATGCGGATGTTTATATTATGAATGGGGCATAAAATTCATTCATGGTGGGTATTTACAATTAAAGTTTCAAGAAAGCTACGGTAGAAACAGACAAACATACAGAAGATACGTTGATCAAATTTAACATGAACCCTTGTACAGTACAACCAGAAATTATTGAGAATTTAAAGATTATAATTTTATTTTTTTCACTCATTGCTCACGTATTAAATGTGAATATTAGCAGTACATAACTCCAGATTCAAAGACATGTGAACAGTTAGTATTTTGTCAAGTCATGGGCAGCAATGCAGGCTTCAATGCAGCGGGGCAGACTACTGATCAAAGAAGTGTAGAAAGTCGTGGTCCATGCTGTCCTAATATCGGACCACCTCTTCTTTCATTTCAGCAATATTTGTCAGATTTTTCTTATTGACAATTTCCTTCATAAGTCCCCAAACATTTTCTGTTGGATTTAGGTCAGGGCTGTAGCTTGGCCAATCTAATAATGTCATATTTTAGGTCTGAAACCAGGCCTGTGAATGCTTTGAATGATGTTTTGGGTCGTTGTCCTGCTGGATAATCCAAATATTTCCATAGAACACGTGAGCAGATGGAAGTAAATGTCCCTCCAGAATATCTGTGTACCGCTCACTGTTCATATTCCCTTCAAATACACAGAGGGGCGTTGCCCCTAACACAAAAATGCCACCCCACACGTTAAATTTCGGACTGTACTTTGGGCGCTGACAAAAAGGTTTTTCAGTTTGTTTGGTCCAGAATTTCAGTGTTTTAGGAATCAGCTACACACAACTTTCATCTGAGAAAATCACATTGTCCCAGTTAAAATGTCTATGCTCTAAGCACCAGTTCAACCTTGCTCCTTTTGTTCAGGTTTCATGATCGGTGATGGAATTCCTCGAGTTTTCTGCCAACCCATTGCATGCAGCTCAGTTCTAATTGTCTCCTTACAGACAGCCACAGTTCCTCTATCAAACGTATCCAGCCTTAAGTTTTCTAAACTCCTTCGTTTGTTTTTAGAAACAAGAATACAAAGCCGCCTCCTGTCACCGACAGTCAATTTTCTGGGCCTACCTGTGCCTCCCTGGTGCTCAATGCCATATCCATTTGCAATATTTTTCAAAACACGATAGACAGTGGACAAAGGGATGCCTGTTCTACTTGAAATCACTTTAGCTGATCTGATGTCCTTGTTATAATACTCTAAAATCAACTTCCTCTTCTCTAAATCATCCATACTGAGGATCACTGAAAATGTCGTCTGCTAGCAAGTAAACAAAGGGGGATACCTCTTCACAAACTAATGAAAAAGGATTAACGGAGTTGTCAGTCTTGAATGAAACCAAGCACATGATAGCTGGTCAAGGCTGTTTATACTAGAAATCCAATTAGACATATTCCTAAAATTCTCAATAATTTCTGGTCATACTATAATGTATTACTCGGTTAACCTTTTATCAAAACTATAGCTGACATAATTTTAGCTTAGTTGACACACAAAAACAAGTTTGTACACTCAATATGTATGGTAGAAACAAATTTCACAATTTATTAAACTTGAAGATAATATGAAGAGTTTTGAAAATAGAAATTGTTTATCAAATGTTACACTCAGGTTCTTGTTTTACCTCAATAAGTGTTCCCAAAACCATAGAAAAATGAATCGGCCAAGACTTCTTCTTCACGGGGGAAAGGTGCTTCCGATTCGTTCCAATTGTTGTCACTGCTTTGTCAATGTCATCAATACGTTTTTGGATGTCATCAACAAAAAGACTTATGTCATCAACAATATATGAGTTGCCTGTTTTTTCTTTGAAATGTATTGCTGTATCCGTTGGATCGTGGAATCTAGTTGTGAATAATCACTGCCTTGTGACACAACCAAATAGACGAGAGTCAGAAGGTACGTGCAGATCAAAGTAGGCAGGAACTCTGGTTGTAGGAAACCAGTCCTTGTCAGACAGCGTTCAAACAGAGCCTTTTCAGCTGACTGAAGATCAGAACGATCAATATCTTCGGGTTTAGTTGAAAGTAGGATGTCCCTTAGTTTAGTAAGAACTTTATTCTGTATCACAGAAACTGGAACTGCCAAGAGTTCAGCAATTGCAGGTATGTTCTTCTTTGCAAAGATTTCTGGAAGAACTTTGGCCAGAAGACAGCGAACTGTGTTTGATCTGTTGCTACTGTCATAAAGTTGAGCCGTGCGGCACATCTCCCGAAGTTGCGTTTTGGATGACCCTAATAAATTGAGGAAATATATATTGAATTAACATTGGAGACAAGTTACGCAATGGAAGGAGAAGGGTGTCGAGGGGCCGACTCGTTTTTATATGTGTTATGTATCACAAATGCTTTTGGGGGTTAATAAATCACCTCTTGAGCTTCTTTTGCATATACTGCATGTTCGAACGATGCATTCGATTTGGTTACAAGTTAAGTTTGATGAAATGGAAATCCATGGCAACGTACGAACGTCTATTAACAGACATTCTCAAAGTCTTTGGCAGTCTCTGAAGTGGACGAACCCCCGATCACTAAAGAGCGGGTGTGTGGTTGGTGATGAGGATGCGTCTGGGGTTGGTGGTGAGGGTGCGTATGGGGTTGGTGATGAGGATGGGTGTGGGGTTGGTGATGAGGATGGGTGTGGGGTTGTTGATGAAGATGAGTGTGGGGGGTGTTTGATGATGAGGGTGCGTATGTAGTTGGTGATGAGGATGGGTGTGGGGTTGCTGATGAGGATGCGTGTGGGGTTGGTGATGAGAGTGCGTGTGTGGTTGTGATGAGAGTGCATATGTGGTTGGTGATGAGGGTGCGTTTGTGGTTGGTGATAATGATGGGTGTGTGGTTGGTGATGACGGTGCGTTTGTGGTTGTGATGATGATTGGTGTGGGGTTGTTGATGAGGGTGTGTGTGTGGTTGGTGAGGATGGTGCGTGTGTGGTTGGTGATGAGGGTGCGTTTGTGGTTCGTGATGAGTGAGTGAATGACTTAATATTAAACGTCACATCGGCAATATCTCAGCCATATCATGACGAGAACATATTTGACATTGAAATGGAATTAAAGTATAAAAACCTGTCGACGAAGGACAGCAAAACAACTAGAATATCACAATTAGAATTAAAACTAGCGTGGAAAGTTAAAAACTAATAGCACCATTTGGACAATACAATATAAAAACAGGCTATAGATCGCCAACAACAGAAGGAAGATCACCATACTAGTGTCCATGGGGACTTACAGTGCCTTTGCTACCTGCATGGACCCTAGCTGGATTTACACCATTCCTTCAGCCGCTGGCGATTGTAGGAAAAGTTTAGCCAAATTTCAAAAGAACAAATATACTACGTTTAAAAATCATGTAAGCTTAAATTCAGCTTTAAACTTTTTGGACATGAAGATCCTTCATAGTTCGTGATTTGAAATAGTTTCCCCTGTAATAGAATATTCAATGCATTCAAGTAAGACATGCTTGAACGTGATTGTTTCATCACAAGGGATACAAAACGGAGGATTCTCACCTTTAAGCATATATTCGTGTGTATATCTTGTGTGGCCAATACGACATCGTCGTATGATGACCTCTTCAAATCTAGACTGACAACCCAAGTAGGTGTAACCAACATAGGGTTTTATTGCATGTAATTTATTTATACCTACTTGGGTGTCCCACTTCTTCTGCATTAGATCACGGATATAAGATCTGATGACAGCTTTATAATCAGAGTATGGGATAAGAAGTGGTGTCATAGATTTGTTGAGTGCTGCCTTAGCAACAAGATCAGCCATTGTGTTCCCAGAAATGCCAACGTGGCTGGGTAACCAACAAAAGACGATGTCGTATTGGCCAGTAGCAAGATCATTATATAATTCAATAATTTCAATTAAAAGTGGATGTTTGCAAGAAAGATTTTTAATAGCCTGAAGGCATGAAAGAGAATACGAATAGATTATATATTGTTGAATATATTTTAAGGCTGTTAATATGACGTTTGCTTCTGCTGTGAAAATTGAACTGGGATCTGGTAATCGAGAAGATACTGTTCTGAATCCAATGACAGTGGCGCAAGCCACTGCGCCACCATCCTTGGACCCATCTGTAAATAAGGATTTGTATGTATTATATTTAGCTTTTAATTGATAAAATTCTTGTCTGTATTGTAGTTCATTAGTTTCTGATTTTTTTAATGTTGTCAATGTTAGGTCAACTTGTGGCCTCACCAATTGCCAAGGAGGAGAAGAAAGAAGACGGGAAGGAGCTATATTTTCTCGCTCGATGCCAGCAGCAATAAGGAAAGGTTTCGCTTTTATGATATACCAAGAGGCGGAACAAGAGAAGTCTTCTTGTTATACAGATCCTCATAGAGGGGATTAAATACACAGTTATATGCAGGGTTTGACTCGTTGAAATATAGTTTAGTTATATGCTGTAAAGTTAATTTTATACGGCGTTGGTTAAGAGATGGCTCATCAGCCTCGACGTAGAGGCTGTCAATAGGTGAAGTTCTAAAGGTGCCAAGACAAAGTCTTAGGCCTTGGTGGTGAACAGAATCTAAATGTTTTAGGTTGCTTTTGCAGGCTCCACCATATACGATGGAGCCATGGTCAAGTTTGGAACGGACCAGTGATCGATATAGATGGAGGAGGGTAGCTTGATCCCCTCCCCACTTAGATCTGGAAACGACTTTCAACAAGTCAAGTGCCTTCAGGCATGTAGTTTTTAGGGACTTGATATGTGGAAGAAAAGTTAAATGTGAGTCAAAAATTAAACCCAAGAACTTGGCTTCCTTAACAACTTTGATGGGAGAGCCATTTAGAAATAGTACAGGGTCTTTATGCGGTTTATATTTTCTACACAAATGTATACAATTAGTTTTAGATTTAGAAAATTTAAAGCCGTTTTCAAGACACCATTTATTTATTTTGTTTAAACACAACTACAGTTGCCGTTCAATAGTATGCATATTTTTACCGCGACAAGAAATATTAAAATCATCCACACAAAGTGATCTATCGATTGAATCACTTAAATCTTTTGATAAACTCTATATCTTTATACTAAAGAGTGTGACAGGTAACATACTGCCTTGTGGAACACCCTGATCCTGATTGTAATGGTCAGACAGGGTTGAAACCACTTGGACTTTGCCGGTCTGTTAAAAACTGTGATATAAAAAGAGGTAAACGACCCCTCAAACCAAAATCATGTAAATCCTTTAAAATGCCATGCTTCCAGGTTGTATCGTATGCTTTCTCGAGATCAAAGAATATTGATACAGCATGTTGCTTATTTACTAGAGCATTTTTAACAAAGGATTCCAATCGTACCAAATGATCAATGGCACTACGATTTTACCTGAAACCACATTGAATATCTGTTATAAGGTTATTGGTTTCAAGATACCATGTTAATCTATTGTTTACCATTCGTTCCATGGTTTTACAAACACAACTCGTTAAAGAGATTGGCCTGTAATTTGATGGATCAGTATGATCCCGGCCAGGCTTTGGTATTGGGACAACAATGGCATTACGCCAAGAAGTTGGGAAATTCCCTGAAGTCCATATTTGATCAAAGATATTTAGAAGTGTTTTCAAACACGATTCAGGTAAATGTTTTAAGAGCTGATAGTGTATGTTATCAGCTCCTGCTGCTGTGTCATGAGCTTGCTCAAGGGCAGTATATAACTCATGCAGTGAAAATAATTCATTATAATCTTCACCATTGTCCGAGTTAAAATTAATTCTGTTCTTCTCCTGTTGTTTCTGATGTTTCTGAAACTCCGGGACATAATTTGATGAAGACAATGCTTGGCGAGAATTTCACCAAGCTTATTGGCAATGTCAGCCTTACCCGTCAATATATTGTTACCATCCTTCAGATGGTGGACAGTAGATTTGGAACCTTTGCCTTTTATTCGTTGAATCATGTTCCACACCTTTGAAAAAGGTGTGCGTGAGTTTATTTTGGAAACAGTTTCGCCGAAACTGACGATTATTCTGTTTAAAGGCGCGTCGAGCCTTGGCATTTAAAATTTTAACTTTATCGAAATTATGGACAGGAGATGTCGGCGAAAATATTTTTCTGCCTTCTTACTATTTCTTTCTGGCCTGTTTACAGTCATCATTAAACCATGATTTACGGATATGTGGAATTGCAGAGGTCTTAGAAATAGTTTCATCAGCAATATTCTTGAGAATAACTGAATCGGATCTAGGGCATTCGTAGAAAAGCCAGATTTCATGTTGTCAGTACACAGTTTCTGAAATAATGGCCAGTTGGCCTTACTAAAATTCCACCTTGTTGCATGTGGACCATCATGCGGGTTTATACCTGAAAGTATGGTTGGTGATGATGATGGGTGTGGGGTTGGTGATGAGGGTGCGTGTGTGGTTGGTGATGAGGATGGGTGTGGGGTTGGTGATGAGGGTGCGTGTGTGGTTGGTGATGAGAGTGCGTGTGTGGTTGGTGATGAGAGTGCGTATGTGGTTGGTGAAGAGGGACGTTTGTGTTTGTGATGATGATGGGTGTGTGGTTGGTGATGAGAGTGCATGTGGGGTTGGTGATGAGGGTGCGTGTGTGGTTGGTGATGAGAGTGCGTTTGTGGTTGGTGATGAAAGTGCGTGTGGGGTTGATGATGAGGTGCGTTTGTGGTTGGTGATGATGATGGGTGTGTGGTTGGTGATGAGAGTGCGTGTGTGGCTGGTGATGAGAGTGCGTCTGTGGTTGGTGATGAGGGTGCGTGTGTGGATGGTGATGATGATGGGTGTGGGGTTGATGATGAGGGTGCGTGTGGGGTGG